GCAAAAAGGCTTCCCCATGTGATGAGGCAGAGGGAAAGCCACAACGGAGCGGGAAATGGGACAACAGGTTTCCAAACCTCCTGCGTGAGCGCCACCAGGAGGTGACAAGACCACATCATTCAGGCAGCATGTATGACAAGGTCACTGGTTGTCAGCTGTATTTAGGATAAAGTATTGCATTCAACACTCTGATCTGGCCCAGGATAATGGGTCAGTGTAGATGTGCCCATAGTTCCATAGCTGAGGCACTGCTCTTGAGAAAGACCTGTTCCTTGTGCTAGATTCCCTAGCATACGTACCTTAATCCTGTTTTTTTAGAGTACTAGGGAAGGTGGTTGTGCATGTACTTGGTCTGTAAGCCATTTACAGCCACACAGTAACACTTGTAGTAATACCTTGGATTGGGCCCAGCAGCTCATCAGCAGCCAGTGCTAAGATTTCAAAACCAGTGTAATATGCATCCTATGTGATCTGTAATATTTTTCCCTCTAGCATTGACTGTTCTGTCTTCACTACATTTCCATTTGGTCTGGCTCAGTTGAAGCGGTGATACAAATAATCCAGCATGTCTCTGTATTTGGAGCTTGGGTGAGAGATAACTGTCTGTGGCTTAATTGAGGCGAGAGTGAGATAACGTTAGTGTGCTGGAAGAATCCGCCAGAAGAGGTAAAGAGCAAAATTCATATTGGCAGCTCAGATAGAGCAAAATGCACAAAGCCCTGGAATGGATTGTTCATATTCTTAGCAGCAGGGGGTGTTCATATCATTATCCTTCTAGACCACCTCTTTCCTCACAGGGCATTTATTTCTGTCAGCAGAGAAATGCATTTCAAACCTCCCCAAACAAATGCATCCCCATACTGTGAAATCCCATAACACTTGCTGATAGGAGTTCTCTTAAGGCTATATTATTATGAAAGGTATCAATCTTGAAAAGGTGGAAGAGTTTGGAAACTCATTTTAGTCCTTTTTTTAGTGTACCAGGAAAGGAGAGAGAATTTAAAAAATGAAAATGGCAAATTTTGTCTTACATCCTTCATTCAGCCTGTTTAATAGAAGGATTAAGTGATGAGGTCTGCTTTTTGTTTTGTTGTATTCAACCCAGCATCTAAAGGGGTTAAAGTTAGAATTTAAAATTAATCCATGATTGAAAATTAGATTGTCTTGCTGAATCTATCATCTTTTATATGTAAAATTAATATTCTTAAAGAGCCAATCCAAGGTTTCACTGTGAGTTTCACTATTAACTAGGTAGATTTTGTGAGGTCTAATTATCTCTCCCCTTGAATCCTGAAATCCATTTACAATGTTGTCAAACACAATATGCCCCAGCAACAACGTATAGTTTCTCCAAGATCATAAGAATAAAAATATAATTCTTATATCTTTTCTGAACTTCTGCAATTGCGGAGAAGGATTATCACAGGAGGATTATCAAAAAGAGACCACCAGCAGAGACTCCTTCACAAAGTTAAACTGTTATCTTTTTATTTCAACTTGCTGCCAACTTTATATCCTTTTGTATCAGTTCTATCCTCTCTTCCTCTCCCTCTCCCTCAATACACACACACTATGTGTGTGATTTGTTGTCAGAATATAACCAGACGGGTCTCAGAGGTTTTCACCTTTCAGCCACTTTGCCCAGGCATTTCCCAGACAAGAGAGGCTGGGCTGGCTCCCTGGCAGCTCCTGGCAAATATGATAATTAAGATCCATTCTGTGTGCATGTAGAACGATAGACAATTTCCATGCCTGATCTGATAAAGCTAGCCGGCATTTGTTCAGACAAGTATCTATCTTGGGCTGAGAGATTGCTGACCGCCGAACTCTTTTATTTCAAATCCAAAGCTTTGTAGTTATTGCTCAAGCAGGTTTTTTTTTCTCGATATGGAGAGGCTCACAATAGTCTTAAGTGTCCAGTTATCTTAAATGTCCAATTTGGGTGGAAATCCAGGCAAGAAATACAGATACCCCTCTTTTACCATTCCTCAGGTCATTAGATATTAATACCAATACTAATACCATCACTGGATATCTAAGAGTATGCGTTCAAGTTTCTTAGAAGAGCAAATTAAGTTTGAATTTCGGACTTTTAAGATGGGGTGCATTATTTTAATCTATCATACTTAACAGATCTCTCATCCTTACAGCTTATTCGAGTATGAATATGAGTCCTTTGCAATCATCAACTCCCAGTTAAAGAATTTCCTGCCCAGCCCATATTTGGCTCACCAAAAATACTGCCATAAGAAGCTCCAAGAATCTCTAGCAAACAGTGTGAAGCAGTGGGCAGTGCTTTGCATAACTGTGAGACTGTGAATTCTAAAGAGAGAAGGGCATCTGGAAGTTTTCCTGTGTATAAGAGTTGACAACTCATCAGTGCCCACACTTTTTAACAATATAAACATTAGCAGTGATAGTATCTCCCTGCTGTGAAAAATGCCCGCAGATTTCTTCAGCTCTAGTTCTAGTTAATTGAACAAAAGCAGAATCCGGCAATGTCTAGTTGGCAACTTAATGCAATAATTTTAATGATATTTGCAGCACAAAGCATATTGTCAATACTTTTCTTGGCAAGTAACAACATTTGTGCCGACTGAAATTTTTAAATGATCTAGGTGGGGGGGGGGGGGGGGAATTTTTTTTAACAATGGCGGTCAAAAAGGACAAAGCATAGCTGAGTAGTCAAATCAACAAAAATACCACAGGTTACAAATTTTTGAGTTTCCCAAAGGTCTTCATCATAGGTGGACCATATAAATAGGCAATGGGAGAGAAAGAAAAGTCCAAACATTAGATCGGATATTATAATCATGAGGTATGGACTTGAATTGAACCTCAGGGTGGAAAATAAAGACTGAATTTCTTAGATTCATTCAGTTTTAATTTTCTGCTCTGGAACTGCCTTAGCCACATATGTCTGACCAATATTTTGGGTTTTTCTGCCTCCCTTTCCTCTATCTGTGTGTGAGAGGTTTATGGAATATTCCAGAGTATTTTGTTCTATTTTTATTGGTCCTGACTGGTATTTCCAAGTAAAAATAATGCATAGCTGAGTTTCCAAACTGTAATATTGGCAAAAACCAATCCAAAGACCAAATCACTTGGAAATATCAGTTTTAAACAGTAACTATTAACAATATCTCCTGACTTTCAATAAAAATAGACAAACGAAGAGGTGGGACTAGAAGGATCCTTACTGATTTAATCCACCCTTTCTTAGTCGTGTTTTGAAAGAGGGCTAGGCCTTGAACATCCTACCTCTTGAAGTGACTACTTTCCTCCGTTGCTGCCCAAATGAAAACTTCACAGTAGAACAAAGAATGTGTGGGTTTTTTTAATGTTTGGCAATCTAAGCCTGAAATGTCTGCGAGAGATGTAACATTGGTCTTGAGTTCTGAGAATCATAAACTTTCTATCAATTAGTGCACGAGTGGCACAGATCTAAGCTCATTAGTTCAGAACTTGATCCTACCGTGAGTAATCAGGTTTATTTTTGTATAAGACTGCATCTAACATGGTGAGATTTGTTTTTCATTGTGTCTGTTTCTCCATATTTACAGTGTTATTTGGAGTAGGTTGGAGTAGATGTGCAAAGTTTCTGACTACTGTTTCAAAGTAGCCTTACACTTGGTGGGAAGGTGGATGAGTGAATATTTTTGTGTGTTTCTTCAAGTCACTTGTTTTCTTGGAACTGACCATAAATTCTTATGCTGAGCATGTGCTCACAGGGACCCCGTTCTCTGACACAGTCTTTTCCTGTTAGTGTTTGCATCTGGTTTGTTTTTACATGTTGTGGCAAATGTTGGTATTAGTCTGTATGCAACCAGAATATGTTTGGACAGAAAAGTGCATTATAAATATATCGATAACGGTTCTATACCTTGTAGCCTTTGTCAAGATTTGACATAGTTGTGATAGTGCCCAGGATAATGTCAAGTATGTACATCATACTTTTGTGCTCTTCGTGTCAATTTTTTACTTATAGAGATCATAAGGGGAATCTGTCACAAGGATTTCTTGGCCTGATTTGTTCGGGGGGGAGGGTTGCCTTCTGCCTCTGAGGCTGAGACCTTGTACTCTAGCGTAAGACTTCTTAAACTTTTTTCCCACTTGCAACTTATTCCGCCTGAGAAATTTTAACGTGACCCTGGATATATACATATATAAAGTAGATACAAAAATCATTGACGAATAATAAATCAGCATGGGGGGGGGGCTGAGTTTGATTCGGGGGGGGGGCTGAGTTTGATTTAGGGGGGCTGAGTTTGATTCGGGGGAGCTGAGTTTGAATTGGGGGGGCTGAGATTGATTCGGGGGGCTGAGTTTGATTTGGGGGGGCTAAGATTGATTCGAGGGGGCTGAGTTTTATTCAGGGGGCTGAGTTTGATTCAGGGGGGCTGGGTGGGGGGCTGAGTTTGATTTGGGGGGCTCAGGATTTACCCTAGCAAACCTTTTGTATTATTATCTCAATACCCCCATGCATATGGGATATATTGAGCATGGTGATCAGATCATGATATGAATAAACATAACAGTTTAAATAATGTACCAGTAAGGCCTTCTCTGACCTTGAAGGAGCTGGGGGTGGTCACAACCGACAGAGAGCTCTGGCATGGACTGGTCCATGAAGTCACGAAGAGTCGGAAACGACTGAACGAATGATTGACTTAGTTCAGAATGCTCTTTGATTGTAGGTGAACTATAAATCCAAAGCAACTAACCAAATGACAAAATCAACCCCCCCCCACCAATTCAAATTTGGGTATTTGTGCCAAATTTGGTCCAGTGGATGAAAACACACCCTGCATATCAGATATTCTTATTACAATTCATAACAGTAAGAAGATGACTGAAGTAGCAAGGAAAGTACTGTGTCACCACACCATGAGGCACTGTATTAAGGGAGTCTTCGCATGAGGGAGGTGGAGAAAGACAGTCTTAGAAGGAGAGGGAGGGGAGAAAGGGAGAGGGGGGGAGCGAGGGGCGGGCTCCTCTCCTGCGAGGCGCCTCCCTGCGCCTTGAAAGCGGCCACATGCGGCGCCGCTTGGCCACAATCTCAGCTCCTGGCCGAGGAGGGCTTTCCTGCCTGGGCAATCACTGCTGAGCCGCCTCCTCCTCCTCCTCCATCCCTCGCAGCCTCAACTTTTGCAGGAAGGGAAAGAGAGAGAGCGAGCCGAGGCGGCTGCTTCTGCCAACATGGCTGGGGCAATTATCGAGAACATGAGCACCAAGAAGCTCTGCATTGTCGGGGCGATTCTGCTGGTGTTCCAAGTCGTCGCCTTTCTGGTGGGAGGTCTGATCGGTAAGCCTTCCCGGGGGGGAACTTTCCCTTCCTCTTCCTCCTCCTCTTCCCAGCTTTCGTTGGGGTCTTCCTTCGGTGATCTAGCTAATGAGCCCGGCTTTGTAGCTGCAGCCAGAGCCCTCTTTGTGTTGCCTCTTCTCCAAGGGAAGGAGGGGAAAAGTTTGCGGGTGGCTCTCTTTTTGGGGAGGGGGGGAAGAGGAAAGAAGAGCCCTCGAAGCATGGCGACTTGGCGTTGGAAAGTTGAGCTTCCTTCCCTTCTCTTCCCCACTCCCTCCTTCCTTCCCCTCCTTTTTTCTTTCTGGTTCCAAGACCTACTCTCCTCCTCCTTCCTTGCCACTTCCAAGTCCTGCTCTCCTCTCCCCTTCCTCCCCACTTTCTCCCAATAGGAACAACAATAGGAACTGCTCCAGCCCACGAAAGGAATGTTTGTGTGCTTTGTCGTCTCACTTCGCGGTGTTTTGCGGCTCTCGGGGTGTTTGTTCGGCTGCCTCTCTTTAGGTTGCCTTTCAGGCTGCAAAGGCGGGGAAGGGTTGGAGCAGAAAGAAGGGAAGGAGGGAAGAGAAAGGAAGGAAGAAAGGCAGCGAGGGAGGAGAGTTGGGCTTCAGAGTTTGGGACGCAATTTCCCTCTTCCCCCACCCTCCAAAAACTGGAGAACTCACTTCCCCCCAGCCAACATGGCCACTGAATTCCAAAGCTACTTTTCCAAGGTCTAGTTATTGCAGGCATGGGCAAACTTGGGTCCTCCAGGTGTTTTGGACTTCAACTCCCACTATTCCTAGCAGCCTCAGGCCCCTTCCTTTCCCCCCTCAGCCGCTTAAGCGGGGAAAGGAAAGGGCCTGAGGCTGCTAGGAATGGTGGGAGTTGAAGTCCAAAACACCTGGAGGACCCAAGTTTGCCCATGCCTGAGTTACTGCAACCATTTCCTCAAACTTCTATTGTGTGTTCAGGTAGAAAAATGTTTCTCAACCTTCCTAATGGACCCCTTAATACAGCTCCTCATGTTTTGGTGACCCCCAACCATAAAACTATTTTTCTTGCTACTTCACAACTGTAATTTTGCTACTGTTATGAATCGTAAATATCTGATATGCAGGATGGATTTTCATTCACTGGGTCAAATTTGGCACAAATACTCAATCCACCCAAATTTGGGGTTGGGGGGGGGTTGGTTTTGTCATTTGGGAGTTGTAGTTGCTTAGATTTATAGTTCACCAACATGCAAAGAGCATGTCCCATGCTTCCCTTTTTTTCTGCGCTAGCTTCAGCCCAGCCCGCCCAACAGCTTAGGCCCTTTATCGGAATTTTGGCCCCTAATAACTTACCTTGCACAAAAGAAGAGCGGAACCGGTTTCCAAATTGGTTTTAATATATATGTTGTGTTAATAGTTTATGCTTATGTTCTATGTTTCATATTGTATGTCTTTTATAATTTTTTGCATATGTAGAAACCGCTCTGAGTTCCCTAAGGGAGATAGGGTGATACATAAATAAAGTTTTATTATTATTGGGTTGTTGAGGTTTTTTTGGGCTATATGGCCATGTTCTAAAGGCATTTTCTCCTGACGTTTCGCCTGCATCTATGGCAAGCATCCTCAGAGGACTCCACAAAATGATGGAATTGAACCCAACTTGGCACATAGAACTCCCATGACCAACAGAAAATCCTGGAAGGGTTTGGTGGGCATTAACTTTGAGTTTTGGAGTTGTAATTCACCTACATCCAGAGAGCACTGTGGACTCAAACCAGAACACTGTGGACCAAGCTTGGCACGGATATTCAAAATGCCCAAATGTGAACACTGGTGGAGTTTGGGGAAAATTGACCTTGACATTTGGGAGTTGTAGGTGCTGGGATTTATAGTTCATCAGCAATCAAAGAGCATTCTGAACTCCACCAACGATAGAATTGGGTCAAACTTCCCACCCAACCCCCATGACCAACAGAAAATACTGTGTTTTCTGATGGTCTTTGGTGACCTCTCTGACACCCCTTCATGACATCCCCAGGGGTCCCAACTCCCTGGTTGAGAAACGAACGCTGAGGTAGACCTAAAAATTGCACACTGCTTTGCCTTTTATTTACTAAGTTCCCAACCTTGAAGCTCATTCCTGCCTTCACCTGCTCCTCCTTGTTTAAAGCTTCTACAAGTGTTCCTCCATCTGCTGTTCCAAAATGCGTGCCTATTGTTCTGCTATCTCTTTTCTCCCCATCCTTGCCTGACACCTTACAAGCAAATGATAGGTCCCAGGAGCTACTCCTTGCTTTGCTTCACAAATGGGCCGGTCTGCCCCTGTTTTATTTATTAAGAAGCAGCACTTAAACTGCCAGTTGCATTCACATACTGTGTCCATTCAAAACTGCTGCCACACAGGGAGAACAAAAACCTTCCCAGATAAATCCTTCGTGACTTTTCAGAATGCAGTCGATCAAGTATGAGGGTTGTGTTGTACTGCAACTCTTTAACATTTCTAGAGCTTCTGGAAGTTATAGGGAGATTCTAACCCGTACACGAGCAAACTTCAGCGCTCCAGGTGTTTTGGACTTCAACTCTGGTAGGCTGTTAGAAGTTGTGGGAATTGAAGTCCAAAACACCCAGAGGGTCAAAGTTTGCCCATGCCTGTTTGAACGACTTCTGGATTATCTGATGGAGAAGGTTGGCAGTGATTTTTTTCCACTGTGCTGAGGGCAGATGCCATATTTGTGCCCATTGGGTATAACCATTTCTTTCTTGGGAATTTTCTAGTAACTAGCAGTTACTTGTTCAGACTGCACTTCAAGTAGTACTGCCTACAGCGAAAGAGAATAGAAGAAATTTCTAGAAACTTCGGCCCTCCAAAATTGCCGTGTACAGTGGCCCTTTGGTATCAATTGGGGGCTTCTACCAGGATCCCTGTAAATACCAAAATCCATGGATAGCTGAATAATAATAATAATAATAATAATAATAATAATAATAATAAATCATCTTTATTTATATTCCACTTTTCTCCCTCATGGGACACAAAGCGGCTTACAACATATTAAAATCATGTAAACAACAATTCAAATACATCAATAATAAGTATAAAATGTCATAAAATAACAATTTAAAGCAATAATATGCATTCACATTATTGTGTCATGTTACTGTATCACACTATATATAGTGTCAAAATAAAATGCCACCCCTTGTATAAAATGGCAAAATCAACGTTTTTTTAAAAAAAAAAATCCCTATATTTTCAAACAGGGTATCTGAACCTGTGAACACTAGCTGCATTCAGAAACATGTTCTGGGTAATTCTTCCTAACAGATGAACGATAGCACACTCAAGCTTGATCTACACTCCTATATTATCCAGTTTCTGAATCCAGTTTATCTGAATTGAACTGGATTATGCGAGCCTACACTGCCATATAAACCAAAGCAGATCATCTTGATTCAGAAACTGAACTACATGGCAGTATAGATGTAGTCTCAAAAAGGGGTATTTATCTAACCCTTCTGATTCACTTAAATAACTACTATCTTTAATTAAGCCATCTGTAAGCCTCTGATTCTGGAGATATTTCTGATTATGAAGGTGTTTTTCATACTGCAAATACTTTCTCCAAGACTAGACAAGTATGAGTCTGCCAGACACCACTAATAGGCTGTTATGGGCAAAGGTGAGGCATGTTATAACAAACTTTGCATATTTTTTTATTTCAAGGTTGGCCTCTCTATGTAGATTTTCCTGCCTATGAAAATCGATTACACATTTAGTAATGATCACTATTAGTTTGCTAAAATGTCTTCCGCTTCCAAGTTAAGGTGTCTTGATGGATCCTCTAAAGCCCAACTCAAGAGCTGGTGATTTTCTGTATCATTGAATAGCAACTCCCATAATCCTAAACCATTGGCCACGCTCACTGGAACGTCTAGCAATGAAGTTCAAAACATCTGATGAACCAAGGATTCCTGCTTCCCGGACTTAGGCATAGTGATTAGATGACTTCACTGTTTTATACTGTAATATAATCCAGGTTTCCTGTTTCAGTGAACACATTCTTCAGAAATGTATCTTCAACTTGTGGGTTGCTTTGAGTACTGAGGTTTTCAGATAAAACTCTATCGACTATTATGTAGTGAACCACATTGTTCCTTTGGCTAGACAACAGAACATATGGTTTGGAAATTAAACTCTGTATTGCTACATTTTGGTAATGTGCAGTTCTGATTCTTTTTCACTACATTGTAAGAATATTCAACAAAATGGTATGGTAGCCATTCTTTCCTGATGCTGCCTGTCCTATCATTAATTGCAGTACTTGTACTGACTGCATATCCACCTTAGTGATGCACAGGATTGTAGCTTGTAAAGAAAAGAGCCATCTTCTCAGTGGTAGCTGGCATCACTTAGAGAGAAAGGAGAGCATAGGAGGTTACCATAGGTTGAGATGGCCCATTATTGGCAACACTGACTGGCAGGATTTCAATTGAGATTCTTTTCTCAGTGTTTGTGAAGATTAGAATTGAATCAGGCATGTTCTGCATGCAGGGAGTCCAGAAGGTAACACTGAGCTACATTTCTTTAGGGAGAGAATTTACCTTGTTGAATTGAAGTTTCCCAATCATTTATTTATCGTGTCAGAAGCTAGTTGAAGGTACAATTAAAATGCATTTAAAAACACAAAGTTTAAAATACTTGGCATTACTGTAAATATTTTTGACCAGAAGCTGGCCACTTTGGTGTTGCTGTGAGAAGGTCCTCTATTGTGCATGTGGCAGGGCTCAAGTTGCATTGTAGTAGGTGGTCTGTGGTTTGCTCTTCTCCACACTCGCTTGTTGTGGACTCCACTTTGTAGCCCCATTTCTTAAGTTTAGCCCTGCATCTCGTGGTGCCAGAGTGCAGCCTATTCAGCATCTTCCAAGTCGCCCAATCTTCCATGTGCCCAAGAGGGAGTTTCTCATCCGGTCTCCGCCATCAGTGAGGCATGTGGATCTCCATCAGTGAGGCATGTGGATAGTTAATTTATT